TTCGAGGCAGCTTCTCCATTTCTGTCAATCTGATCCAAATATTGTGTCATTTGGTGGTAACCCCAAATCGCACTTCTGATTTCCTGCCATGGACAGCAATACGAGTAACACGGACAGCACAACTAACCCCTCTTAATACTGAGCCCTCAAATAATTTATGGTAATAGATCATCAGAGGGGCACATGGTAGCGTAGTTGGTTGAGGCACTATGCTACAAGCCGGAAGGTCGCGGTTTCAAACCCCGATGAGGTCATTGAATGTTTTCAATTAATGTAAACCTTCCAGCTGCACTATTGTCCTCGGATCGACTCAGCCTCTAACAGAAATGAGGAATCTTCCTGTGGGGGTAAAGGGCGGCCGGGGCGTAGGGCTGACAACCTTACCGACATCTGTGAGCCGATTGTCTAGAAATTATGGGAATCTCAACATCTCACAATCCTACGGGTCTCCAAGACCTGTTACAGAGATACTTTTACTTTAATACATCATCAACTTTTTTCCCGCTAAGTGTAGGAAATTTAATACATGGTCGGTAGACCATATTCTTCTCTTTGCCGGTCTGCATGTTTTGTGTCCATTGCTACAAAACTAACCCAGTTTTCTTGATGTGAGTTTGCGGATTTCACAGGCGTTAGTATCCGTCCAGTAGGCCCTGCACTCTCTGTTTCCCATGATGCTGGAATTAAATTTGCCTTTTCATAAAAAGAACGGGAATGTGATATATACCTCACTAATATTTAACTCTGACTTTAAGCAAGTATATAAGATGTATATTAGAAATTTTTAACACATATATAAAATGTTATTTTTCTATACTTTGTGGTATGTAGACCCGTCGCTATGCAACGATAATGAAAAGAGCACCTATACAATAGCCGTTGCTAATTACTGGCTCTGTGAACAACGGCCGTTGCTATGTAATGGCGACAATAGACACTCAACGGAACAACAGAAGATCTGTTGTAAGCTGTGTTCTCTGTGAGGTCCATATCGATGCAATATAACCAGGGCCAGATCTTATTAGAGCACAGTCTTGAGTCTTGAGTAAGCAGTGAAACGAGTAGGACTTTGATGTTAGACGGCCACCAGTCTGGGAGTTAGTGTCCTGGAGCAAGTTGGTTGGTGAGTGAGTGAGTTAGAGGACTGTTGTTGTTCAGTCCGTGTGAGCTGTTGCTGTTGAAACTGATAGGTGAGGCATGGGGACAGTTCGGGAACCCAGAGGAAAAAGACCGTCCACCTTTAGAAGCCGTTACCAGGAAAATGGTGAAGACACAGTAGGCTGAGAAGACTTAGGTGTGTACTGTAGTGAAATGCAAACTATGTGAATTGGCGATAGAGGTATAGTTACTTGTAGTCACGATGTCTTAATGTTCAATAAATCCAGTTACCAAGCCAAACCCAGTTTATAGCCACAATCAATCACGTGACAGTATAGTTATTAGGTTCTTCAGAAACAGGATTGATAGAGTAAATAAACATCTAGACCAGTCAAGGAAAAAATCATCACAAAGAATGCATATGGAACTTACATACACTTTGGATTGTCCCAGACTTGCTATATTTACCACCCTTATATATATGTAGATGAGACGATTTCTATGTTATCAGTTATTGGCTACTCATAGTAACATTGTGTAAAAGTTAGTTGTTTTTTTGTCTGTGGCGCTACATCCCCAATTTGGGCCTAGGCCTACCTCCATGAACTTCTCCGTTCACTTCGGTTTTTCTAGATCTTACACATTCGGTAGAAATCCTTGGGAGGATGATCAGCTCGTCACAAGGCCTCTACCTGTACACAAACACAGAAAAACGCACACACACAAACTAAACATCCATGCCCTGAGTGGGATTCGAACCCACGATCCCGGCTTCCGAGCGTGCGAAGACAGTACATGCCTTAGACCGCTCGGCTACCGTGACCGGCAAAAGTTAGTTTTACTTTCGGTATTTCGATTATGCCTTTTATAGAGATGTAACAGATATGAACCTGACATCCACTCACTTAAAACTTTTAAGTGTTTCCGAAACACGGCAAATGACAAAATATTATTGTGTATTTACAATGTTATGTGACTGTAATACATATTTCAAATCTATGAGAGGTTCTTTCTTCGTAATTTTCTTGGACATTCAGAGTAACAGAAGTGACAGGGCCTCAAATTAGACCATGAACACTTATTTCCACATATTTTTAATACAATGTCTACTAATCTTTCCACAAATCGGGGCTGTGTAATCGTTAAATAAGGCACAAAAGAATTGAAAAGTGAAATGACGCTTAAATGGAAAGACCAAACAAAAGTTTAAATCACACTACAATGTTGGTGTGCATCTGCTAAGCGATGTGGAGGCTGCTGCTTTCGTAAAGACAGACGAAAGTACGTGTTGAAACTGACTTCTTTTTATTTAGAATCGTATCTAAGATCGACTCGCCATGTATGAAACCGTTAGGAAACACAAAACAAAACATAGAGATCATAAAGTTTATTTTTATGAGCTTAATCTGCTTTACAGAAGTAAAATTATCTTCCTTTCGATATGTCCCATCATTAATGTTCTAGATGACGAATGGAAGATTCCATTGATGCAAAGATTTTGTTTATGCTTCGTTAAATATAACGAACACTATGGAGAACGTTTGCTCTGGAGAATGTAAGTTGGTCGCCATATTTCCAGAATTCTACTTTCTCGGGTACAACGCCAACAAATCCGTTGAGAGTCAATTGACTACACGGCTCTGTGTACCAGAAGATAAATTCTTCATAACAACCCCTTTGCGAACCTTATATCCTGCAGGATATTTTAAATTAATTGTTTGGGGCACTATGTTACAAGCCGAAAGGTTGCGGGTTCGATTCCCGATTAGGTGGGTTTTTAAACTTACCTAATCCTTCCAGCAGCACTGTGACCCTGGAGTCGACTCAGCCTTTAACAGAAATGATTACCAGGAATCTTTCTTGGGGGTAAAGGGCGGCCGACGCGTAAGGCTGACAAACTTACTGCCATCTATGAGCTGATTGTCTGGAGAAAATGTGGGAGCCTCGACTTGTCATAACCCTATGGGTCTTCCCGGCCTGTTAACAGGGATAGATTTACCTTTCTTTACCTATGAAACTCGAAGATCTTTTTCCGTTATTCACGGATGGGAAACAAGACACAAACACTACAGCACATGAAGAATACTTTTCAATCTGCTCAGTATATAAGAGAGGCCGCTCCGTGGCTCAAGCGGTTAGTCTCTGGCTTCCCACTGCTGCAGCCCGGGTTCGATTCCGGTTCTGGTCAAGCGGGATTTGTGGTGGACAAAGTGGGGCTGTGGCGGTTTTTCTCCGAGTACTTCGGTTTCCCCTGCCAATCTTCATTACACCAAATTCCCGATCATCATAATCATCCGGGGCAGGTACAATAGACAAATCAGTGGCCGCCGTGTCGAGTGAACCCACCTGGACTCCACCCCCCACTAAGCGAATTAATTAAAAAAAAATAATATGTAAGAGAAATCAAAATCTATATAACAAAAGCTCAGACATCTGGACCTTACTTCGAGGAATGTGAATTCATTTTACGTTCTCGTTTCAAACTTAGTTTATCTAAGATTATATTCTATGCTTACGTAAAGATATTTCTTTTTCTTAAAATGAGAAATTTGTGATGAATATACTGTGGATTAGGGAACAACGTGAAACGGAGATTACAGTGGACTAAGAGGAGCAAAATTAACTTAACGCGGAAAATTTTGAAGTAAGTAGAATATATTATTTTTAGAAAAGCGTAATGTGTTTTGGGAGGTGACATTTTGGGGGCACATACATTATTAAAAGCGTGTTAATTTTCCTTCACTTCATGAACTTCTTGCAAAGGACATAGCTAAATGAGAGTAAAGAGGGAAGCCAAATTTGAAAGAACGTAAAGACACAGATGGACAGAGAGGGAAGTATGCGGAAACATTACCCTTGATCTTATCACATACGCATCAGTGAAAACAATACTTCTTGTGTGTCTATCTGGTTGAGACAGGCAACCAGTCGGCACGGCACAAGCAGCGAAAGTAAATCTCCTTAAGATTCGTGTATATAAGAGAAGAGGCCTGGTGGGGAAAGACACACCAACTCTTGGTTGCTTCACACACACTCATACACGCACCAGCAATATGAGGCTTCTGGTAAGTTGGAACAGCATTTCACATGAAATTACAGAACATTCATTATCACACTCATTACAAGTTTACAACACAAATATAAGTGCAAATTTTCGCAACATGTAACCACAAAACATAAAATGTTTTACATTGAACGAATCAGTGTTACGTATTTTTATTACATATTATCACACAGAAATTCAATGTCCTGTGTTAATGTGGAGCTAATGTATCTCCCACTTCAGAAGTTCGACCGGCAGTCATGTTTAGTTTCAGTGACAAATTGAAGTCCATATATAACGAATCTCTAGGGAAAGAACTTTTCTTGCACTAAATAGGTACGTATTATAAAAAATAACATCTAACTACTAATTTATAAATAGTTCTTTTTTTCGCTCCTCACACAAACGCCACTACTATTTTTTTGTTGTTGTTAGTAGGGTGGGACTAAGTTCCTTGTACTGCGGCCACTTCTGGCCTATTGTACCAACCCCAGAAGATAGGTGAGGGTGATTGTGGAGCATTTGGTGGAATGAAGATTGGCAAGGGAAACCGAAGTACTCGGAGAAAACCTGTCCCAGAGCCACTTTGTCCACTACAAATCCTACTTGATCAGACCCGGGATCGAACTCGGGCCGCTTCGGTGGGAAGCCAGCGACTACCCGCTTGAGCTATGGTGCGGCCCACCGCCACTACTAAGTTTTTTAAGTATTGAAGCCAGCCTGTTGAACATAAATTGTGGCTTGATGTTTTCAAATGGTATGTATATAAAATATCCATACGAAGCAGGAAGCCTTCCCATTGGCAGCGTAGCTATTCTCTGGAGCGTTGTTTTTTCACAGTGTTACCACAAACTTTCAGATCTGCACTTTGCTCATCGTCGCTGTGACTCTGGCTGAAGAAGAGAAGAAGGAGGACAGCAAGACGATAAAGAGAGGACTGCATGATTTGGGGTATGGAGGTGGAAGTTTCGGATATGGAGGAGGTCTCTCTTTGGGCGGTCACGGGCATCTCAGTCTTGGAAGCCAGCACTTCGGCGGCGGTAGTTTTGCCGGAGGGGAGTCCCATCATGAGAGTCACGTGAAGGCCATTACCATCACCAAAGAAGTGAAAGTGCCCGTCCCGCATCCATATCCAGTGCACGTGGAGAAGAAGGTTCCTGTCCCTGTTAAGGTCCCTGTGCCTGTTCATGTGGTGAAACCCTACCCAGTACCCGTACCCAAACCCTACCCCGTTTATATAGAGAAGAAAGTTCCTTATCCTGTGGAGAAGAAAGTTCCATACCCTGTGAAGGTCCCTGTGAAAGTTCCTGTTCCCGTCCCTCACCCCGTTCATGTCCCTAAACCATACCCCGTGAAGGTTCCTGTCCCTCAACCCTACCCCGTGAAGGTACCTATAGTGGTGGAGAAGAAGGTTCCCGTCTTCGTGAAGGGACATCACCATGAGTCGAGTTTCGGAGGCGGCCTCGAGGGACACAGCTTCGGAGGTCACGGTCATGGATATTAGCCGTTTCGAATGCCCATGTGAATGGTATGGAATATACAGGGTGCATGGATCATTATTGGACAACATGTAGAATAGCCACAAGGTGATACAGCCGAAACGACGTATTCCTGACTAGACGTCGCAGGTTCGCAGAACAGCAAGACTTGAAACGATAGAGGAAGGCGCATAATGGAAGTAGCTGCCTTGATTAAGTATTCTGTGTCTCAGGGTCCATGGTTACATTCAGACCTATAATTTTGTCGACATTCATCCAACATTGTTTTCACTTCCAAGCTCTTCAGCCTTCGCATCACATATCACACCGTGATGATTTGCCACTGTTTCAGCTTTACCCGTAAGGTCGTTGTTTTATTGTGTTTATACTGTGATATATTTTTCAATGATTTTACACCAATAAAGTTATTGTGATTAGAAGTAATTTACTTTATTTTAATCTTTACTTCATGTTTAGAATCCTCCACAAATAGATCGAATATGATATTATTTAATTAAAAATCATTCCTTGTCCATATTACATTACATCCTCTTATTTTTTTTTCATTTTTGAGCAGATTGGTTTAGAGCATTTAAGAAAATACACAATTTTATAAAATGGTTTAAAATAAATGTGACTCCAACTTTTCTTTATAAACCTAAACGTATATTGGCAGCTGACTATAAATTAGAGAATTGGAAGACCTAATTGTCGAGCCGTTGCTCAACACTGGCCGTCTCCGCGGCGCTTCTCTGACTGCACTATTGCAGCTTTCAGGAGTCAAGTCACATGTCACATAGATATTTATGTATTATTATAACGGCCTTCTATTCTGGTTCTACTATTCTGACTTTTAGGTGTTTATGTGGGATACATAAACTCACGGACACACAAGCAGTAAGACGATCTCATAAACCTCCTTTTTTTTTCAAAAATGAGATAAGAGAATCGTCATATCTCGTTACATTCAAGCTACGACAGGGGTCAATATGTCTGAGCTTTCATAACACAATTATTTTGCTTCGGCAGAAGGAAAAATGTCGTAGTCCTCCAATCGGTGAGCACATTCACTAGTCGTTCTGTGGGTCACCCCTAGCAGTTAGCATTTCATAAATCAGTTAATTAAGTTAGTGATCCACAGTGCAGTCAGCAGTGATTTAAAAAGAAATTAATTAAACAAGATTGGAAAGACAAGTTATTAATTTAATCAAAGAACAGGAAGTTTACAAAAAGAGCGAAGAATTTAGCAATAAAGTAATTATTTAATTAGTCATTAGGTAAAAAGAAAAGTTATCCCTGTGCTTAACTAATAAAGCACTACCCATGAAGACGTATGGGGAAGTGGATCTACAGGGCTTTGTATTCTTGACCTCGGCACAATTTGGAGGTGAGTAGTCATCTACTCACCTCAACAGCTTTACTCTCAGGAAAAAAGAACACTACCCATTGGTACAATTATTCAGTAATTCCGGAAGTTAAAGAAAAGGTATCTGAGATCTGTATCACTTTGTTTACCACCTATGTGAATATGTATGGGTGTGCATTGTGCAGTGTGCACACGTAGTGACGTGTCTGGTAATGTGTAATTCCCAACAACGGTCAGCAAGACAACGTCAAGTCCTCTAACACAGCTCTACATCCACGGTTCTCGTTTCCATCTTTGCTCTGATATACCCCGTGGGTTTCCTTCGACACGTTTAAAAGTTCTGACATCCATTTCAGTGTCCTGAGACCTTAAAACAAGTCACAATCAAAATGCGAAGAGAACGGTTATATATACATATTCCTTGTTATGCTGAACTCAAGAAAAAGCAGGTTCATTCTACTCCATTGGCCTTAAAATGCAATAATTACGAGTCAAGTAACTTATTCAGGTTCGACGCGAGACCGCGAGTAATTTGAGTAGTTCTCCAACACACACAGAGAAAGTTGTAGCGAAGGGTTGCAACTGGAGCGAACACAATCTGCAATACTCAAGACAGGGCATAAATTGCAGAACAGGGCTCTCAGGCACTTTCCTGCCGTTACGGTAACGGACACAAGGAAAGTAACGTAATATCCACTGCCCTAAAGCTAGGCCGAGCATGCGCGTGATAATAACTGACAGAGATGACTAAATGTTCTAACCGTGTCGGAGAATTTTGTTCACTGATACACCTCAGCTTCTGGCCTGTGTAGATAATATTTATTTAGTGGGTGAAAATATAAATACAACAAGCAGAAACTCAAATAATATGTGAGGTTCTGAAGGGCCCCAGAACCATCAGAGAGGAAAACAAGTTCGCAGGTCGATGAAATTTCCGTGGCTGTCTCCTACCGATAACTCAGAACTCAGAAATCTGCCACTCACTCCTTAGTCAAGTCAAAGCCACAGGTTGGGCTCATGACCAGATATTTATTACTGTTTGACATTTGCGGTCTTGTTTTTATGGGGCGACCTCTCTGAAGAGAGGACGGGTGTGTCTTTTATATATGCTGCTGGTCCTTGACAGCACAGTCTTTCTCACGACCATATTTTACTGCCTCAGATTTGAGACTTCCCTTTTCGTCGCCTCCTACGACTCGCAGGGTCACGGTGGAGGTATTCGACCCCGCCTCCACACGGGGTTCACTCCTTAGTTATTCTTCGAATCTCGCTATATAGCCGCAGTACGGACCACACAGAAAACAGTTCTATTGTTGAAACTTGTTTACCGAACCATTGCATAGAAACGGTCGTGTCGGGGACCTCATTGAGAACACTCTATCTATTGTTTCGTAATGTGCCGTGTTTACAGAGTTGCTGTCTGGCAACGCCTTGATCAAATTCTTTGCAATGTGTTCTACTAGAATGGATTCATCTAGCTTAGAGTCGGGCTGTTAATTTTTGTTTTAATAATTCGCTTAGTGGGGGGTTGAGTCCAGCTGGGTCCACTCGGCACGGCCGCTACTGATTGGCCTATCGTCGCCTGCCCCGGGTGATTATGATGATGGGGAATTTGGTGGAATGAAGATTGGCAGGGGAAACCGAAGTACTCGGAGAAAACCCGCCCCAGTGCCACTTTGTCCACCACAAATCCCACTTTACCAGACCCGGTCTGTGTACCATTTGTGAACAACGTGATGAACATTTTATTTTCATGGGATTTCCCAGACTACTTAAGCCATTATCGGACTCTCATGGAGGGTTTTTCAAGGTGTTATGCCTCTCATGGTATTTTGCTTTTTATAACAGATTTTCGTAACCTCCAGTTTGATTTTACTCATCACAGCTTGAGAGAGAGATGGTTGTCGCCTATTAAATAAGCAGCTAACTCTGCTATTAACTAAATAGCTTACTAACTAACAAACTCAACAAGGAGGTAACTAATTATTTATCTGTGAAACTCTTTACAGACCCACAATAAAATTTTCCACACAATATTTCGTTATCCCTATAACTGGAAATTATGAATAAAATTTCTTCAAATAATTATGTGAATAGCCGTGTGGTTGTTTATTCAAGCTATGCGTGCTTCAGAGTGCATACATACCTAGTGAAAACGATGATTTTTAAATGTGTACAGCGAAACATGTCGGGATGAAAGCGACTTCGGTATATTTTAAGGTGATCTTCAGACATACTGGAAGGACAGAAGAACATCACCGAAAACACCATTCACGACAATCGGAGTCTGGGATATGTAGCAAAAACACAGTAGATGAAATGTTCAGAGAAGCTTCAGTCGAAAATCCTGTAGGGATGAGAGTAATATTAAAATTCACATTAAAAATAAAACATTAACTGAATTTCGGTAATTTCGCTGCTCTGTTAAGTATCAAATTCAGTGTGGTGTAGCGATCTGTTCCGTCATGATTATTTTAATGTAATTATTGACTTTTGGGGCATAATTTTATTTAAAGCAACCTTTATGCCTCCATCCTGAAACGAAAGCCTACTGAGCTAGGCCCCAATCGCTATAGCTATTCCCTTTGTCCGGAGGAGTATTTTTATCTTCAGTTGCTGGGTCCATCCTGACGGTTCGTGGTTAAATCAGGGTGTTTATTAAGGGGATTTTGTTGCATGTTTTCCTTCAAATGCTTTAATCAACATGGCGAGACTAGAAGGAGCTGCGAATTCATATTTATAAAATATTGTGTTCAATTTCCAATAGAACTGACTCTGTTTTATGTCAAGGAGGATGAGATTGGCAGGGCATGCAACATGAATGGGGAAGAAGATAACTGCATATAGGATATTGGTAGGAAAGCCAGAAAGAAAGAGACCAATAGGAAGACAAAGACGTAGGTAGGTGGTATGGATTGGATTGATTTGGACACGAGCCAGTGGAAAGCTCTTGTGAACACGGTAATGAACCTTCGTGTTCCATAAAATGCTGGGAAGTTCTTGTGTAGCTGCTCAAGTGGCAGCGTCTCAAGAAGGACTCAGCACCATGAGTGATGAGTGAGTGATTCTATTTGAGTGTCTGAGCGGGCCAAGACACTAAGACCGCGCGGCCGCTGTGATCGGAATATTACTTGACTGACTTTTGTCAAAAGTAGAGTACTTGCAGCTTGTAGTTCAGCTTAATGTTTTCACCTGAAGATGGAATCAGTACATTCCTCCGAAATATCAGTAAACGTTTATTAGACTCAAGGTCATCAAATCCCGGAAGATAAAATTGTTCGTAATTGCCGTTTTGAGAATCTCAAATCTCATCATCATCATCATCATCATCATCATCAGTAATCTGTCAAGACGACAGGTCCACAGTCTCTTCCAAAACAATTCCTCCACTTAATGCGATCTAGAGCTTTCTCCTTCAAATGACAGTATCCTCTTCTGTCCCCAAGGTCATCCAGCATCTTCTTACGTCTTCTTCCTCGTCTTCTTGTCACTTCTATCCGCCCCTCTATCTTTCCTTCGATAACTTCTTTTAGAAGGCAGTTTCTGCGTAAAACATGACCAATCCAATTAGCCTTCCGTTTTCTTATTTCGTGTAGGATATTCCTCTGCTCACTGACTCTAATTAACACTTCTTCATTTC